AGCTTGGGATTTAGAGAAGTTTATTTTGAAGTTGGCCAGGTAATGAAACAGTTCAAAATCTTTTAGCAGATTAGGTAAAGTGATATGGGGATCTGTTAGAAAAAGCAAGATGTCATCTGCAAAGGCCGCTATCTTATGAATTTTGCCATTGATATGAATCCCCTTGATATTATCGTTTTGTTTGATGCAATTCATCAGTGGTTCCAGTGTTTAAAATAAAAAGGAGGGGGGGTAGTGGGCATCCCTGCCTGGTGCCATTGCCTATCAAAAAAGAGTCCGAGAGTAGACCGTTAACTCGCACTTTAGCTGTGGGAGAGGTATATAAAGACATAATGAAGGTACGGAAACGCTGAGGCAATCCAAGGCCAAAAAGAACCGCCTCCATATAATCCCATGCTAACCTATCAAAGGCCTTCTCGGCATCTAGTGATAAGAAAAAGCCTGATTGTTGTTTTTGAATTAACCAATGATGAACATTTATGGCCCGTATGGTGTTGTCTCTGGCTTCTCTCCCAGGTACGAAGCCCACTTGATCCATTGATACAATGGGATCTATAATATGTAATAGGCGATTGGCCAAGATTTTTGCAAAGATCTTTAAATCGACATTCAATAAAGAGATCGGACGATAATTTGCTGGTAGTGTGTGGTCTTTATCCTCTTTTGGTATAACCGTAATATGTGCCTCAGTGAGATGGCGCAAGGATTGCCCTGGTGTATCTAAGGTATTGAAGGCCCGTAAAAATGGTTGTGCCAATATGTCGTGGAAAGTCTTATAGTAGGCAGTGACAAATCCATCGGGACCTGGGCTTTTACCAGGTTTCAGTTGTGCAATAGCTTGTTGTAACTCCGTCAGGGTCAGAGCACCATCTAACTCTTTTGCTTGTGTTCTAGTAATTGGGTTTGGGAGATATTGGTTCAGGAAAGTCTGGATAATTGTCTTACGTGATCTAGTGTCACCTGGAGGTTTAGATGGTACAGGTAAATTGTATAAGGCAGAATAATAGTTTTCAAATTCAGCTGCAATATTCTTTGATGTTTTCAATAAGCGTCCCTGCTTAGAAGTAAGCTGGTATATGTGTCGAGTTGCCTTTTTGGCTTGTAAGGCCCGGGCTAGAAACTTGCCACTCTTATTTCCATGTTCATAAAAGAGTTTTTGTTGAAGAATAAAACTACGTTTGGCTTTCCTGTCTACAACATCTAGAAGTTGTTTACGCACTTGATCTAGTTCAGATGCAGAATTCAAGGCTCTAGAGCGTTTATGTGTGCATTCAAGTGTACGAACTTTTTGCAGTAGGGAGGCAAAAGATGCCTGAGCTAGACGTTTTCGCGAGGCGGTTATAGACATGAGAAGCCCGCGGGTTACACATTTATGTGCTTCCCACTGTGTGAGAGGGGTCATTTCAGGAGATACATTTTCTTTGAAATAATTGGTCAGAGAATCACGGATCTGGAGGGAAACAGAGGAGTCTGTAAGAAGAAAGGGGTCCAATCTCCATGTTTTGGACGCGCCCGGCGCATCAGGAAATTGTAATGTCATCAAAATTGGGTGGTGGTCAGAAAGGATCATTGGTTCGATCGAAGCAGAGTGCAAGTTATGTAAGTCTTTCTGAGAAAGAAAAAAATAATCAATTCTAGAATGTCGCTTATGTGGTGCGGAGTAAAACGTGTAGTCTTTGTCTTTAGGGTGGAGGGTGCGCCAGGTATCATGGAGGAGAAGATCATGTAGCTCCAGTTTGATCTGTTTGAGTGCTTTGAAGGGTTTAGAGGAGGAATTGGTGGAAGTATCCTCCAATGGGTTCAATGCTACATTAAAGTCGCCGCCAAGAATCAGAATACCCGACTGAAAAGTGGACAGTAATTTGGCGATTGTGCGAAAAAAAAGCAGACTTGTGCGGTATTGGGGCTGTAAATGTTAGCTAGAGTAAGTGGCTTATTATAGAGGGTGCCTTTAAGAAACAGGAACCTCCCCTCGGGGTCCTCAAGATGTTCAGTGATTGTAAACGGGAGCTGTTTAGAGAGTAGAATAGACACACCCTTTGCTTTCGCCTCCGTGTTGACTGCGTGATATACCTTTGGAAAGTTAGCATCCGAAAATCTAGGTATGTGGTCTGCACGAAAGTGAGTCTCTTGGACAAAGATCACGTCTGCTCTAAGGTGTTTCATATATGTTAGAAGTTGCGAGCGTTTCTCAGGTATATTTAAGCCCTTTGCGTTGAGTGAGGCCACAGAGAGTTTGGGTGCTGAACGCGCACATGGGAGGTTAATAGCCATTATATATTGTATGCCAAAAATACTTATTCAAAACCTGTTGGCGTATCAAATGGTTGTAAGTAAGATAAGAGAGATATCAGATAGAGAAGAAGGAAGAAGAAAAAAAAAAAAAAAAAGGGGGGTGGTGGGGGGGAGAAAGGGGGAGGGTAGGTATGGGGAGAGGATAAAAAGGGAATTTAAGGAATACTAGAATAAAAGTGTGTCAAGATAGGAATACAGATGATAGATATGTAGGAGAGGAATAAAGGAGAAGAAGAAAGAAGTGTCAGGCGTGTCACATAGAAACCCATATATATATATGTATATATAGCATTCATACGTTCCTTCAACTTCTTTTATAGATAAGACTCCAGAGAAGATGTAGGCCAGCTACTCTCTCTCTCAATAAAGCTCTAGTAAATTATAAAGGTGTGTACTAGAATAGGAAATTACACTTGGAGATGTGTCGAGCCCAGAAACGGCCGTATTGTGAACGTATAATATACTCGTGAAAAGGTTACGTGTCCTCAAACGAAGGGTATATAAAGGACTTTGACCAACATAAGATGGCCATGTCCTATTGTTTTTATCTCACATGGACAGTGCCAGATAGCTAGGTCTGTGCTAGTGTGTGTAGTGGTCACCTTCCAGTATATTAATAGGTGATCTTGGTTATTGCAACAGAGTTTATATGCAACCCCTTTTATTTTAGTTAACCATGTCCCTTCTGGTCATGGATTCTATAGCTAGTTTTAGCTCATAGGCTAGAGACAGGTGACATCTGATGTCCTTCTGGTAGTTAGAGGTCTGGTAGCATGACAGATTACAAGCTGCTAGGGACTAAGATGCAGAAAAATAGATAGGCTGACTCTGAGTTCTAGTGCCACACCATGGTTTCTACTGGTAAGAATGTGAATTTTAGGCTGGTTAGTCAATAGTTGAAGAGTCTCTCTGTCACCGCTGATCTCATCTTCAGGTCTCCGACACAAAGACAGATGCAACATCACAATCATCTTCAGGGACCTCTACAACTGGACTTTGCTGCAACATTCATATAATATACAATGAAGGAAATAAGTATTTGATCCCCTGCTGATTTTGAATGTTTGCCCACTCACAAAGAAATGATCAGTCTAAAAATCAAATGGTAGGTGTATTGTAACACTGAGAGACCGAATAGCAACAAATAATTCAAAAGAAATGCATGTCTAAAAAATTATGCACCGATTTGCATGTTCATGAGGGAAAAAAGTATTTGATCCCCTTTACAAAACATGACTTAGTACTTGGTGTCAAATCCCTTGTTGGCAATCACAGAGGTCAGACATTTACTGTAGTTGGCCACCAGGTTTGCACACTCATCTCAGGAGGGATTTTATCCCACTCCTCTTGGCAGATCCTCTCCAAGTCATTAAGGTTTGGTGACTCAAGTTTGGCAACTCGAATTTTCAGCTCCCTCCACAGATTTTCAATCTGATTAAGGTCTGGAGACTGGCTAGGGCACTCCAGGACCTTAATGTGCTTCTTCTTGAGCCACTCTTTTGTTGCCTTGCCGTGTGTTTTGGGCCATTGTCATGCTGGAACACCCATCTCCACGACCCATTTTCAATGCCCTGGCCGAGGGAAGAAGGTTCTCACCCAAGATTTGACAGTACATTGCCCCGTCCACCGTCCCTTTGATGCGGTGCAGTTGTCCTGTCCCCTTAGCAGAAAACCACCCCCAAAGCAAAATGTTTTCACCACCATGTTTGACAGTTGGGATGGTGTTCTTGGGATTATAGGCAGCATTCCTCCTTCTCCAAACATGGCGAGTTGAGTTAATGCCAAAGAGCTCGATTTTGGTCTCATCTGACCACAACACTTTCAACCAGTCCTCCTCTGCGTCATTCAGATGTTCAGTGGCAAACTTCAGACGGGCCTGGACATGTACTTTCTTGAGCAGAGGGACCTTGCAGGTACTGCAGGATTTCAATCCTTGTCGGCGTAGTGTGTTACCAATTGTTTTCTTGGTGACTGTGGTCCCAGCTGCCTGGAGATCATTGACAAGATCCTCACGTGTAGTTGTGGGATGATTCCTCACTGTTCTCATGATCATTGACACTCCACAAGGTGAGATCTTGCATGGTGCACCAGACCTAGGGAGACTGACAGTGGTTTTGTGTTTCTTCCATTTGCGAATGATTGCACCAACTGTTGTCACCTTCTCACCAAGCTGCTTGGCATTAGTTTGGTAGCCCAGTTCAGCCTTTTGTAGGTCTACAATCTTGTCCCTGACATCCTTGGACAGCTCTTTGGTCTTTGCCATGGTGGAGAGTTTGGAATCTGATTGTTTGATTACTCCTGTAGAAAGGTGTCTTTTATACAGGTAACAAAATGAGATTAGCAGCACTCCCTTTAAGAGACTGCTTCTAATCTCAGCTTGTTACCTGTATGAAAGACACCTGGTAGCCAGAAATCCTGCTGAATGATAGGGAATCAAATACTTATTTCCCTCATGAACATACAAATCAGTGCATAATTTGTTAGACATTTTTTTCCTTTAAATTTTTAGTTTCTATTCTGTCTCTCAGTGTTACATTACACCTACCATTCAATTTTTAGATTGATAATATTTTGTGGGTGGGCAAACAAATCAAAATCAGCAGGGGATTAAATACCCTTATATCCTTCACTGTGTGTGTGTATGTGTGTATATATATATATATATATATATATATATATATATATATATATATATATATATAAATGACCAGAGACTGCAGACACAGTACAGGAGATGACCAAGAGACTGCAGACAGTACAGGGGATGACCAAGAGACTGCAGACAGTACAGGGGATGACCAAGAGACTGCAGACAGTACAGGGGATGACCAGAGACTGCAGACAGTACAAAGGATGACTGGAGACTGCAGACAGTACAGGGGATGACCAGAGACTGGAGACATGACAGGGGATGACCAAGAGACTGGAGACATGACAGGGGATGACCAAGAGACTGCAGGCAGTACAGGTGATGACCAAGAGATTGCAGGCAGTACAGGGGATGCCCAGAGACTGCAGACAGTACAGGGGATGCCCAGAGACTGCAGACAGTACAGTCAATGATCAGAGACTGCAGACAGTACAGGAGATGACCAAGAGACTGCAGACAGTACAGGGGATGACCAAGAGACTGCAGGCAGTACAGGGGATGACCAAGAGACTGCAGACAGTACAGGGGATGACCAGAGACTGCAGACAGTACAGGGGATGACCAGAGACTGCAGACAGTACAGGCGATGACCAGAGACTGCAGACAGTACAGGAGATGATCAAGAGACTGCAGACAGTACAGGGGATGACCAAGAGACTGCAGACAGTACAGGGGATGACCAGTGACTGCTGACAGTACAGGGGATGACCAAGAGACTGCAGACCTTTGGGGAGGGAGGGGGAGCGGGTACCTGAATTTGACAGGTACCCGCTCCCATTTCTGCAGAGTTGTCCTCCCTTTAGTGTGGGCATCCGGCTGACAGCGAGAAGCACTGCGCTTTGTGAATGGCCCAGTGTCTTCTGGGACCTGCCATGTGTCCCAGAAGATGCTGGGCCATTCACAAAGCGCAGTGCTTCTCGCGCGTGCGCAGTGGGCACACGGCTGTCACAGCCGGGTGCCCACACTAAAGATGTCGGCGCGGGAAGACTGTACAGCGCTGGACCGAGGAACAGGTAAGGTCCTTCTGCAGAGAAGAGCTGAGCGGCTGGCCTAGTATTCTGACACAGTGGAAATACCGGACCGGCCGCTCCATATTCACTCCATAAGACGCACTGACATTTTCCCCCCTTTTTTGGGGGAAAAAAGTGAGTCTTAAGGATAAAATATGGTGTGTGTATATATATATATATATATATATATATATATATATATACACAGTATATACCAATATTATTTAGAAATATTGAAGCACCTAGTGGCTGACGTTTGCGTCAGCTGAGGCTTGAACATCCAACTGATAGGACTTGGAAAATGTGTAAAATCTGGGCTGCAGATGCTTGATGCTGAAAAGCCCAGGAGACAGCAACAGCCCTGGTGGAACCCTTTTTCTTAAGAGTGAATACCTTGCAAATGAGCCATTTAATTAACCTGGAAATGGGCATCCTCTGTGATGTTCTTCAGGTAGAACCAAAAGGAACCCTGTCGTGCCCAAAAGAAGCCACACCTGCCAAGTAGACTCTCACACCCCTAACCACATCCAAACAATGTAAGGCAATATCCTTGCCATGTTTTGGGGCAAGACAGAGTGAAGAGAGAACAATGTTCTCAGTGAGGTGGGAAGAGGAGACCACCTTATGTAAAACCACCTTGTCCTTGTGCAAAACAAGAAATGGCTCCTTACAAAAGAAAGCTGCTAACTTAGAAACATGCCTGAAAGATGTTACAACAACCAAAAAGGCAACCTTAAAGGGTGGTCTTCCAAACAAATGTCAGTTTAAAATCAGTTTAAAGTGAGGTCTCTGAAGAACAGAGTGCACCAGGTAGAGATCCCAAGGTGACTCAGGAGTTCGAATTTAGGGAATTATATGAGTCACTCCCTGTAAAAAAAAGTTTTGGTAAGGGCTTGCAAAGCAAGTTTTTTTTGAAGAGGATTTATAAGGCAAAAAAACTGTCCCTTGAGGGTATATAGGGACAGAAGCTAGTCAAGACCAGATTAAGGAAAGGCCAAAAAATACAAGTGATAGAAGTATTTCTTAGGGTTAAGCCTTCTGTCCTTGCACCGTGCAAAGTGAGTCTTCCATGTGCAATGGTAAAGCTTGCAGGAGTTAGATTTTCTTACTCTGAAGAAGATGGGAATAATCAAATCAGAGATACCCATATGCTTACAGTCATGCTATTAAAGACAGTGACTGAGAAGCAGGATGGACAGGGTTCCTTGGGACAATAGGTCAGGTCTGTTTCGAAGAGGCTAAGACTTGTACACCAGAAGTTTGGGTATGTCTATTTAAAAACTTAAATGGTTTAAAAAAGAAAACTATTGGTCTGGAGGAGAACAGGAGTTGGCACCTAAGGACACTATCAAAAAGGGGAGACAAACAGAGGGGGCAGGTACTTCTTTTCCCCTAGCTCCCTGTTCCTCTTTCCTTCTAAATACTCTCAAACTCCCTTCTCTTTCTTCCCTTCCCACCTGTCTCAACTGTCCCTTCTCAATTAAACGTATCCTCTATTCTCCTCCTCCTTCCCAGTCTCTCTATTGTTTGATCTTTTAAACACATCCCATTTTTCCCACCTTTCTCAAAATCTCTCCATTTTATCTTCCTCCCTATGGTAGAGTTCCTCCATCCTATGACCCTACTTATCCAATTCTTTATTTTCGGTACGTCTTTTTCCTGCCAAAATCTGGGTATAAGTCCCTTCGCTGCATTTATAAGGTGGAATATCACCAAATTCTTATATTTTTCTACTGTGCTCTCTGTTTTATGAAATAGACATGTACCTGGGTCTTTTGGGACATTGAACCTAGTTATCTCCTGTATTTGATGAATTATTTCCCCCCAATATTCCTGGATTTTGGGACATTCCCACCATATACTGTTTGTGCCATTGTGCCCTTAATCCCGCATCCCCTCCAACCCATAGGTGATTTATTTGCTCGTTGCTTATGTGTCACACTCTAACATTTTTAGCTATACCAATTGCCATACCTTTAGCACGCTTAATTGGTGAATCTGCAAAATACCAGATTGGGTAATATCTAGAGTAAAGCTTCACATTAGTTTCCTGTAATAAGTGAGTCTCCTGCAGAAACGCTATTGTAATAGATCATTGTTGTAATTCTCTAAGGATCTTATGCCTTTTCCCTGGGCTATTCAGCCCCTAACATTATAAGTCATAAAATTAACCTCCTCCATTTCCCATATATATATTTTTTCCTTCCATCTAATTTCTTCTCAACGATAGTACCATCATCCCTCCAAAGGAACACGGAGCTAACCCCTAAATAATTCCCCTTCCCCCCCACCTCCCTCTAGGCACGTAACTTGCCTTTGAATCGTTTGTGATCCTAGTCCCACTATCGATTCCGTGCTGGGGTGGAACTCTGACCACACATGCCCAACATGACCGCGTTCCTCCTCCCTAGGCTACATGTCGGAATGTATATGCAACTCCCTATTTCCAGCCTTTCTTATAACATTTTTGATTTTACCTAGAGGACAAGGGGAAGAACAGGGAGAAAAAAAAGAAGGGAAATCCTCTACAGACTTTCAAAAATCCTTCTCCCGTCCTCCCCCTCCTCCCCTATTTTATCTCTGGTGCTTTTTCCCCTTAGGGGCTAACTGCCAATTCTCTTTTTCTATTCCCCTATTCTCAATTACCCACTCTCCCCAGTCTGTGTATTTTTGTATCTTAAAGACTATTGACATAAAGGCATAGGATGTACGCATGTCCACCTAATTCACTTTATTATATGATTTTATCTGATACTGCACTGCAAATGAAAATTTACCACTAGAAGATTTAGCACTATGTGGCACTGAGTCACTTAGTTATATATAGCTTTAATATACAGGTGAAACTCAAAAAAATTAGAATATCGTGCAAAAGTTCATTTATTTCAGTAATGCAAAAGGTGAAACTAATATATGAGATAGACTCATTACATGCAAAGCAAGATAGTTCAAGCCATGATTTGTCATAATTGTGATGATTATGGCTTACAGCTCATGAAAACCCCAAATCCACAATCTCAGAAAATTAGAATATTACATGCAATCAATAAAACAAGGATTGTACATAGAACAATATTGGACCTCTGAAAAGTATAAGCATGCATATGTACTCAGTACTTGGTTTGGGTCCATTTTGCAGCAATTACTGCCTCAATGCGGCGTGGCATGGATTTATCAGCCTGTGGCACTGCTGAGGTGTTATGGAAGACCAGGATGCTTCAATAGCGGCCTTCAGCTCTTCTGCATTGTTAGGTCTCATGTCTCTCATCTTTCTCTTGGCAATGCTCTATATTTTCTTTATGGGTTCAGGTCAGGTGAGTTTGCTGGCCAATCAAGCACAGTAATCCCACAGTTATTGAACCAAGTTTTGGTGCTTTTGGCAGTGTGGGGAGGTGCCACGTCCTGCTGGAAAATGAAGTCAACATCCCCATAAAGCTCATCTGTGGAAGGAAGCATGAAGTGCTCCAAAATCTCCTGCTAGATGGCTGCGTTGACCCTGGACTTAATGAAGCACAGTGGACCAACATCAGCAGATGACATGGCTCCCCAAATCAACACAGACTGTGGAAACTTCACACTGGACTTCAAGCATCTTGCAGTGTGTGCCTCTCCATTCTTCCTCCATACTCTGGGTCCTTGGTTTCCAAATGAGATGCAAAAGTTGCTTTGGACCACTGAGCAACAGACCAGGTCTGTTTTTCTTTAGCCCAGGTAAGACGCTTCTGACGTTGTTTGTTGTTCAGGAGCGGCTTGACAAGAGGAATACGACATTTGAAGCCCATGTCCAGGATCCGTCTGTGTGTGGTGGCTCTTGATGCACTACATGAGGAAAACAGATCCTTATTCCTCTCTGCTACAGCGCTGGCCAGAAGTTTTGAGAACTTGACACAAATATTAATTTCTATAAAGTTTGCTGCTTCAGTGGTTTTAGATCCTTTTGTCAGAGTTTGCTATGTTACAGTATACTGTAGTATAATTACCGTATTTTTCGCTCCATAAGATGCACTTTTTTTCCCCCCAAAAAAGGGGGTAAAATGTCAGTGCGTCTTATGGAGCGAATATAAAGCGGCCGGTCCGGTATTTTTGCGGCCACCATGTCAGAATACTGGTAATAGAGATCATGTATACGAGCGCACCTACAAATGCAATGTAGCAGCTGTGCACCAGGTAACCATAAACCTAAATAAAACAATAATATAAATCAAAAGATGCAGCGCTGGACAAGAAGTACTATAAGTGTATAAATAAATGAATAAATAGTTGTAAAACAAGCAGTTCATATAATAATATCAAGGTGACTTCAGGTGCTCTCATCTATTCCTATCCTCCAGGTAACAAGGTGCTGTGCGATATAGTGCAGAAGAAATGCACACTCACCAGAACGCACAGTTTAATGAGCGTTTATATATATATTTTTTCCTTGAGGTCATCGGCTGGTCAAGGCAGGGTCTGGAATCCAATGGTCTCCCTTCAGTGCTACTGGGTGTTATTGCTAGGACATCAGGATGATCCCTCGGATGTTAGCCTGTGGACTACTCCTCAAGTGGTAAGAGCGCTCCTTCACCAGCAGTGAGATGGATGGCTGTGAATTGATACTCCCCAGGGGAGTCAAAGCAGAGACATCTCCATAGTGTAGTAAGTACGTATTTAATTGAGATAAAAC